AAAGTCAAATCCATGGACCACTATGTGCGTGGCCGGACGTGGATCGCAGCGACATTTGGTAACGAGCTTGTCCGGGCCCGTAACGATGGAAAGGATGGGAACTTTAACTACACGCGAGAGGAAATGGAGGCTTGGGAAAAGGACCCTAAATCTTACGTCCAATATCGCAAAGCGCTTGAAGTCGGTATGCAGGGCGGTTTTGCTCTCACACACAAGGGGACGAAAGAGCACGAGTGCGCGTGGTCATTATTTAACCAGGACATGAGGAAGCGGCTGGAGAAGAAGCCAGAGATTGCCGAACATCTCATCCCCGACTTTCCACCTCTCTGCAAGCGATTGACTCCCGGTCCTGGCTATCTTGAAGCCTTGGTCGCCGACAATGTTGACGTGATCGCGACCAAGATTTCACATGTCGACGAGACGGGCATCGTGACGACGGACGGGAAGCATCGACCAGTTGAAGCGATCGTCTGTGCCACCGGATTCGACACGTCTTTCCAGGGTCGATTTCCGATCTATGGACGTGGCGGCGTCAACCTTCAGGATCGCTACAAAGAGCGCCCAGAAACGTACCTCAGTGTGTGCACCGACCACTTCCCGAATTTCTTCCAGTCCTTTGGTCCCAACGCCGGTCTCGGCAACGGTAATCTCCTGATCATCATCGAAGCCATCGCCAACTATGTCGGACAGATTCTCCAGAGACTAGGACAAGGAAACACCAAGACGATTGAGCCCAAGCGGAAAGCGGTAGAGAACTTCACAAATTATTGTGAAGCCTTTTTCGAACGGACGGTCTTCTCAGCTGAATGTGGGAGTTGGTACAAGTCATCGCCACCCAACGCGACTCCGGAAGAACGAAAACGAGGCCGGGTAACGGCGTTATGGCCCGGCAGTAGTATTCATGCTGTTAAGGCACTTGAGAAGGTGAGATTCGACGACTTTGAAATGACTCCAGCCGATGGAAATGAGTTTGGATGGTTCGGCGACGGATGGGCCTCGGCAGAGAGAACGGGAGATGTGGAGGGTTTGACATGGTATCTGAACAACACAAGCTTCACACACGAACCATTGGAAAAGGGCGAGAAATTGAAGGTGACCGAGGACAAGGTGGTGATCAACGGGGATGCAGAGGGCGTCGAGAAGGGCGAGATTGTAAAGGAGATGCAGGTGCCTGACGGGGTTGCTGCGACGTAGAGGAAAGCAATGAGTGAGTATTGTGTGTTAATGAGATAATATATCAATAGCTCCACCTCACCACCATTCAAGACTGCTTCTTCCCAAGACTAAAATAACAGACTATGCCTCGGAAGGACATTGTAGCCCAGGAGGGCCATCAAAGTGTATCAGGCCATCAGGGCATCTCCGCTCCATGTCCAAGACCCAAGAGATTGCTCATGACTCAGTTCAGTTACATACTGTGTGAAGATACACGGTTATCACCATGAGAATCCGTGGGACAAATCCTTCTCCTCATCCTTTCTTTCTCTTCGACTCCTGTATAACAGACGGTTCAAAGACCTCGACAACATGGCCTTGTGGAGGCTGTTGGGCATTTCCACCTCAGCCGTGGTCGTCTTGACCAGCCTCGCTTATCTCCTCCTCGTCGCCTCCCTCTCCACTTCCCCCTCGGATCCAACCAGGCATCCACTGTTCGACCCGTCTGCCTCGTCATCTGAGCACCCTCACAGACACTTTCAGGCGCCTGCAGAAAACCCCTGGGCAGAGCTGGACGAGGTGGAAGCGTCGCAGGTGTATCTATGGCTTCAGAAGAATACTAATATATTCAACTCGACCGATGACCGCGCGGGTGGGAGTCGAGGGGACAACAACCCGCTGAATCTGATCGAACTGCTCCGGCCCAATAAATCTAGTGTGGTTGACTATCTAGACCACAATGGCCCTATCCCAGATCGCTGGGCTCGCCTCTCTGCCGTCGAGACCAAGGGTGATGACGCCTTCATCGTCGAATACATGGTCGGTCCGCTGCCACCCTCCAACAATACCCAGATTCTCCCCTTGACGTACTGCCACAATTCCGGCCGCAACTATGTTCAGAGCCCTGTCTCGGATGTCTTTGCGCTGCTGGAGTGGGCGCTGTCCATCGGTGAGAACGCATCCGATGTCACCCAGGAGCTCTTGGGCGCAAAGACCAACCGTGACGATCTCGACGATCCCAATGGGTTGGTCATGGGTTCCAGACCTGCACTCATCGAGTCTGGCCGCATGGTACACTGGCTGGAGTTTTTCGGGCCGGGCATCAAGTCCGATGGCCGCAGCCTCTTGCCGCAAGGGCTGTACGTCAAGCTGAACGTCCCCAACGCAAACCCGGAGTCCTGGACGACGAGCGAGTGGTTCTACAACGGGATCCTGTACGACAATCTTACTATGCTACGGCAAGCTATGGCGTCGCCCAGGTTTGAGCGCCTGACGGTCAATGAGGACGGGGAGTGGACCGACACTGAAGGCCTCAGCACGTCCACCCCAGAGCGAGACATGCCACCACCACTGTCGATTCAGCCGTATGGCCCTCGCTACCGCCTCGACCGGTCGGAGAAGTACATCTCGTGGATGGGCTTCTCGTTCTACCTGTCGACCTCGCAGGCCACGGCGCTCTCGCTCTTCGACATCCGCTACAACAACTCGCGCCTCATGTACCAGCTCGGCCTGCAGGAGGCGCTGGCCCACTACGCCGGTGTCGAGCCCATGCAGTCCGGCCTCGAGTTTTTGGACACCTTCTTCGGCATGGGCAAGATGATGTTCAGCCTCGTCCCGGGACTGGACTGTCCCGGCCACGCCGAGTACCTCGACATGTCGTACCACCGGGGCGGCAAGATGTATACGAACCGCAACGCTATCTGCGTCTTTGAGTACACCTCGGACGCGCCGTTGCAGAGACACACCTCGGCCTTTAGCGCGACCGTCAGCAGAAACACGTACCTTGTGGTGAGGAGTGTGAGCACGGTGGGAAACTATGACTACACGGTGAGCCCCTCTTAAACGACCGTAGCCTCGTTTCTCCCCCCTTTTTCTCTTTTCTTCTTCTTACTAGACAATCTCTCCGCTAGGTGGGAACGCATTAGCCCATGACACTGACTCATGTACACAGATCGACTATATCTTCTACCTCGACGGCTCGATCGAAGTCAAGCTACGGGCAAGCGGCTACATCTTCGGCGCGTTTCACGCGGAGCCACGCTCGTCGTCGCCACTCCGACGGGACTCGTCGACCAACGAATACGGGTACCGTGTGCGGCCGGCCCTGCACACCTCGATGCACGACCACGTGGTCAACTTCCGCGCGGACCTGGACATCTGCGGCACGGCCAACACGGTTGTGCGGACGTCGATCGAACCCCTCGAGCGGGCCTACGACTGGGACCAGCCCGAGGTGCCGGGCCCGCGCAACACGATGCACATGGTGCACACGCCCGTCAAGCACGAGACGGGGCTCAACTGGCCGCGCAACGCCGGGGAGATGTTCCTGATCACATCGCCGAACAGCACGAACAAATGGGGGGAGACGCGGGCGTACCGCATCCTGCCGGGCACGGGGATGGGCAACCCGGCGCACCTGACGGTGGTCAACTCGACGGCGCTGGGCAAGGCGGCGACTTGGTCTACGGCGGACCTTTGGGTGCTGCGCAACCACCCGGCGACCGAGCCCGGGTCGGCGCACCACTACAACGCGCTCGAGCCGCTGACGCCACTGGTCGACTTCACCCGGATGGTCGAGGACCGCGAGGCGGTCGAGGAGGAAGACCTCGTGCTGTACTTCAACCTGGGCGGCCACCACGTGCCCAGCAGCCAGGACATCCCCAACACGCTGATGCACACGAGCGCCAGTTCCGTGATGTTCATGCCCTTTAACTACTTTGACGACGACGTCAGCAAGCCGCTCCGGCAGGGCGTGCGGGTTGATCGAAGCCGCCACGGCGCATCACAAGTGAAGGGGGACGATGCCGCTGCTGCGAAGGAAGAAGTGCGACGAACCCCGACGAACCGGGCCGCCCGATCCAACCACGCAGCAGCAGCAGCGGCAGTCAAACCGGAGGAGATGGACAAGAAGAACCCTGCTACCACTCATGATACTGCTGGCGTTGACGACCCCCACGACGGCATCTCCTGGTTCGGCGCGCGGTACACCGCCCCCGTGCTGGTGACGGAGCAAATGCTCTCGCCCGACCTGAGCCACTACATGAAGGAGCGGGACGACGGGGAGCAAGACGGCTGGAAGACGGTGAGGAATAACGTCGGCGGCGGGCTGTACGGGTTGTTTGTCGGCAAGCAGAGAGAGCAGGGGAGCGGAGATTCTCGAGAGCGCGAAGGCGGCGCGCGGCTTGATTGGTGATTGGTGATTTGTCGTCAGCCTTATCGCGGCGCTTCTCTTGCGGCTAAACTTGCGATTTGACTTGCGATATAGAACGGGAAGGGGAAAGAGGAAAGGCAGGGGAAGAGAAGAGAAGAGGTCGTCAACGACTCGAGATCGAGATCGATGACGATGACGAAGATGATGACGAAGAAATGATTGACGTCTTTGTCTTTGGGGGGAATATCTTAGAGCACATTTGGCTGTTCAGGCTGTGACTTGTCTTGATATGACATGTCTTCTCTTGTCGGCTTGGATATGATATGATATTATGTTGATGGTATAGAGAACTAGGTATACTGAAGTCGTAGTGGGAGAATTAGAAGATGGGTCAACAAAGAGAGAGAGAGAGAGAGAGAGAGAGAGAGAGAGAAAACATGATCGTGATGCCATATACTTCTAAAGTCCCAGTTCCCAGTATCAAGTCACAATTCTATTTGCGCTTGTCCTTCCACTTCCATTCCCCTCGAGAGACTGAGTTCGTTTCTCGACCTTCAACATCTTAAATGCCTAGACACATGCCCAAACCGTCTAGATCACCCCCAGTCATCTCGAACTTGCTCATGCTCATGCCCCAAATCTACTTGTTTCACTGTCAACATACATACACACCACACACTTGCCTTTCACCCTTTCAGGGCCCCCCGCCTTTTCCATCTCCCTTTCCTTTTCTCTCTCCAAAACCTGTTCCCTCCGCTTTCCCCGGCCCCAGCTCTGGATTCAAGCGTCGCAGCGGGAATGAAAAGTTGAATCTGTCTCGACGTTTCCAAGTCCTGGTTTTGTCGCTGTTGTTGTTGTTGCGAGTAGTGACGGTCTTCAGGATCGACGTGATGCCGCCCCCCGTCTTTGCACCTCCCGGCACGACGAGGTTTGGATTCCTCCTCCTGGCGGCGGCGTTCTGGTCGGAGCCCGTTTCAAAGTCGCTGTCTTCGAAGCGGCGGTGGCGGCGGCGTTCGTCGTGGAAATCAACCTGTTTCGTCACAATCACAAGTCAGCAAGCAGGGTCCTTTCGCTCGGAATGTACATCGGTAGAACTACGTGGCGAAGGGAACTTGCCGTTCGCTTGGAGGGAGCAGGAAGAAGTGGAAGAAGGCGCACCTCGTCGTCGTCATAATCATCATCATCGTATTCACTTCCCGAGTCGTAGGGGGAAAAGGGGCTGACGATGCTGCTGGTCCCAGTCCCGGTACCCGACTTCGCTTCGTCTCCTCTTCCTCCTCCGCCGCCGCCGCAGAGGTTGAAGTCAAAGTCTATCACGTACCCGGAAGGCACACGTCTACCTGGATGCGGCTCGTCGTGTTCATGGATGGTCTCCAGGTTGGTTTCGGAAGAGGAGATGGTGTGCGTCCGGTCGAATAGACGGGCAGTTGTCGTGTTTCGATCTGGTGTGCTCGTGAGGTTCGGGGTATTCGTGGGTTTCAGCGACAGTTCGCGAAACGCGGAAGGATCTGTTGCCGATGCTGAAAGAGATGTGACCTCGTTGCTGATATTGTTGTTGCTGCTGTGAGCTGGGGCGGTCGAAGCCGATGATTTCGAGTTCGCGCACACAGGTGGCAGATAGTCCATGGTTCTTTTGGCTTCGAGCGCGGCTAGAAGACTGGCACGACCTTTCTTTGCATTCACATTCTCAGCATTCATAGGTACCGGCGGGCCACCCTGAGTGTCAATCCCGGCGTCTTCTCCGTACAGCCACACGAGATTGAAGAAGAGTGTCTTTGCAGTGGTGTATTGGCGCACAAACGGGCCGACATTCATGGCCAACGTGGCCCGAATGAAGCGACACGTCGCTGTGTTGGCCGCGTTCCATTCTCTGCGTTCCTTATCGACCGAAGCTTGGTCTTCGACGCTCCAAGAGGGCGGAGATTGAGGTTCCGCCCAGCTGCCAAGTATCAGATCCGAAGAATGGGGATTGGACAGGAGAACCGGCTGGATGTCAGAGTGCCATCGATAGAAATTCGACTTGCCCTTCAGGGTGTCGATGGTGTCGATGGCAGGGAATTTCAGCTCGCAAAAGTAGGCATGTCGGGTGTACGAAGGTGGCATTCTGATGATGCACCACAACTACTTCCAGAGTTCAAAATGCAGGCTCATGAGATCAAAGGGGATATGTAGATGTGCTTTTGAAGCTTCAGGTCCTTCGTCGCTTGATCAGAGAGGATTTAGCTCCTGATTCACTGTCGCCGTCTCCGAAGCACACACGTCCAGGTTTGGTCTTAGGTGGGTAAGACACCTGGTCCACACTGACTTTTCGTTCTGTCGAGATTCTCTGGCACAGGTCGTTTTCCAAAAGTCCCTCAAGAAACCTTTGTAGAATATCTAGGACTTTCTGTGTCGTTAGTGCGCCGATAAATTGAAACACTCTGATTGCTCTCCACTACTTGTGACGAGTCGACAGCCTTTCCGAATCCTCGCCTGATTCCTCGGGGATCTGATTCAGATGTCCCCTTTTGCCCTGCAGCCGCAAACAGGAGTCCAGCTTGTCCGCGAGAGAATCCATCGAAGGACCACGGTGAGGGAGTCCGGTGTAGGACATACCCAGTGCCCGGCGCAGATATCTCTCAGCCAGTGTATAGTCTTCACGACTCAGACAAAGAGTGGCGAGCTGATCACAAGCCCAGGCTGCACTTCCACTATTTTTCGAATCCGGATCTGCCGTTTCATGCTGGAGAATGCGGTGTGCCACTCCCTCAATGGCAAATTCCTCATTCTGATCCGCATACAGCCTACCCAGAGCTGCTAGCGCAGTCCTATAGCGTCTAGGATGCATCGACTGGCTGTCTTTGATCAGTCTCTGACACATGTCTTGTGCCATCTGGAACTTCTTGCGTTTTCGGAGCATGTCAATCTGGTCAACTCGCAGGGCAAAGAGCGAAGAATTGCTGGGCTTTCGTCGGGCGCTGTACCCTTCAACTATCAGTTGCATCATGGACTCAACGACATGATCCCGATTCTCAGAAGCAATCGTCATGCTCAGAGCTTTGGCATAAGGATGAGTTTTCCCAAAAGCACTTGCTGCCATGGATGAGACAAAGCTTAGTAGATGCTGCTCTAGCGCAGCCATTCCTAGCCATGGCGTTGCAAAGTGTACCAGGAGGCAAGATAGGAGTTGAAGAGGTGCGGAATATAGCAACGGCTGGACCATATTGCAGCAGATGTCGAAATTCTCCCACGCTTTGCTCGATCTTCCCGTTTGCAAGGATTCGAAGCCATGGTAGAGCCCCAGCCAAAATGCCGACACTTGATCTGTCTGTCCAGCTCTCACCTCTTCTGGGATAGAGTTCGGGAATCGATATTGCAATTCGTTCATTTTGAGCCGGTTGAATGCCGTAAACTGCCACTGCACGGCCTCGCGAGTGTGGAAAAGGCTGGATTGCATGTTGTATAAATCAGTCGGCGGCCGGACATCGATCATCATGAGACCGAGGCCAGTGCCATCGCAGCTTTGCGCATTGAAGTCGAAGTCTCCAGGCGGAGTACTAGAGTTTGAGAAGGCATTCGACCTGTGTAGGCCCATAGTTGGCGATTCGTCCTTGATTGTAATGTCTCCTGCAGACGCCGACTCTGGACTCTGCGATAACTGTTCCCAAAGCTGAGTAAACCTTTTGTCGCTGCGACAATGGCGTTTGACACGATCTAACTTCAACGGTCTCCCTCGAAACGAGATCGACTGAATGTCATGTCCGGCGTCAACGTATTCTTTGACCCGTTTCGCCAAAAGTTCCTTGTCTTTAGCTTTGTAGTTCTTGTGGATTTTCCATTCAGTGATGCGGCGCTTGAACATCTTCTCGCTAGCATTGAAACCATACTGCTTGCGTAAGATGGTCCTCACGTCTTTTAGCTTCCTGTTTTGACCAATGTACAAATCAGTGAAGACATCTTTGATATCAGTCCACTGCTGAGGACTTGGTCCAGCAGCCCTCCACGATTGAGGATCTTGCTCGGCATTGTGGTACACGAGATTCATTGGGTCAACAGTCTCCAGATCTTTCTCATAACCTGACATGTTGTCCTCAATGCACCTTATTGTGTCGTCAGCCATTCTCTATGTTGTGCTCGAGAAAGAATATTGTGGTCGCAGGTCGACCCAGAGTCGTCAGATCTGCGAGCTGAACACCAGGTCCTTGCGGTCCGCTTACATAGCAGTTGAGAGAGAAAGGAACAGCCATGATTTTAAGGAGGAGAATGCCTCGAAATCTTATTATTATGGCGTTTGACTTGGGAAGCATTCATCGATACTGCTTGCAAAAGGGCTGAGCAAACTCGAACGAGGACGCAAGAAGATGCCATTGGACGACAATTCCTCGGAGTGTCTGCCTCACTGCCTCACTGCCTCGTGAGCTCATCCACAAGGGAATGAGGTGCATTAGTGCTGGAACTTTGTGTTAGCAACCAATCGAGTTGAGCTGTATCCGAGAGGGAACTTTGGTAAACCAAGTACACCATGACAGCTTTCCTTTTCATCGATATTCTGCCGGGAGAAGCCTTATGAACACGAACAGACCGAAGCTGACAAGAGAGGAGGAAGAAGCAGAAGTGTTGATCAACAAATCAGAACAGATCAGAGATGGGTGGCTTTTACAATGTGCCTCTTTCGAAAGGTAGTCATTTTTTCATGCAGTCGTGGACTTTCTGTCAGACGATAACAATGACCTAATCATATGCACATAATCGAGTAGTTGATGTACCAGGAATGTGTCATGTTCGGTGTCAGACAAAATCTTTTTCGTCAACCCCAGAGTTTCACCTCTGGGACGCAGCCTCTTACGAGCTTACAGCTTCGCCAGGTTCACCCAATGCTTGTCCCTCGACCTCGACACTCTGTGCCAGTTCAGCTTTCCGCCTTTTCTCTTCCTCCTCAATTTCTTTCAGTCTCCTTTGCCCCTCTTCGTTCGTGGCATCAATCACCCCTTCCTGGAGACTGAGCATGTTGCCTTGACCCAGCAGCTCCACAATCTCTTCGGCTTCATCCACACTCATCTTTCCCAGAACTTTGTTGACCTCGTCTAAGCTGCCACTCTCTAGCGCACGTTGTAGTCCTGGGGGAAAACGCTCGAAGATCTGGCGTGACTCTTGCTCGACAGGGTCATCCGAGCCTGGCTGTGGCACATTGATGTGGATCTCCGTTCCAGGCTCGACTGCGTGGAGCTGAATCTGTTCCACACCTGCTGGGTCGTTTCCTTCCTCCTTCTGTAACTCGGCCGCACGTGTCTTGATGCGACCGTATGTTTCAGCCAAGTCCTTGTTGAACACCTGCTGCGCTTGGTGTCCCTTGGTAGTGATTCGTTTGAAGAACAACCCGACGCCGTCCCGACCTAGCTGACGACAATATTGAATCAGGAGACTCTGATGTACGCATGTCCGCGCATAAGTATCCTGCCCTTTCATCTGAGCGTTGAAGGCCTCGATCATAAGGGCATCCTGGGTCTTCTCATTAACGATGTTCGGATGCTCGGAAATGAATTGTAGACATGCTCGGTAGTCTCCAAGCTTGATCTTTGCGAACTGCTTGCCCTCTGGCGTGAGCTTAAGACTTGCCTCATCTTCTTCTTCATCTTCATGCTTGTCCAGGAGAGAATCATCTTCAATATCCGCCTCTGCACCAGAGGAAACAGCGCCCTCACCCGACTGGAGTGTATCCCGTGCCTGTGAGCTTAGGCCTTGAGGTGCGTTGAGCAGTTCAACCCTCTCGGTTTTCGGCTTTTCCTTGGCTTTGGGCTTCTCGGCAGAGCTCGAAGCTGGTTTTGGTTTATTAATGTGAGACGAATCGAAGCCGATATGAATATCCTCGCTTGTGATCTTTGCGGTCGCCTCCTTCTCCAACTGTGCGAGGCGCTTTAGCAGATCCTGCTGCAGCTTCTGGACCTTGGTGAGATGACCATTCACTCCCTGCAAAAAGTCTGCGTATCTGTCTGTGGATTTGTCTTTCTTCTCGTCGACTTCTTTCTTGACCTGATCAACAAGAGCCCCCATCATCTTAGAGTACCTAGGCTGCTCCTTCTGGTGCGTGTAGACACCTGCGGGGGGTTTGGGCGGTTCATCTTTGGCGGGATCACCGGCGCTCTCGATCAGACTCTGAAACACAATCTCGTCAGGGTTCTTTTTGTTTGCATCTTCTTGGTGTCTCTTCAGGGCGTCTAGGAGAGCATTGATGCGTTCGAGCAGTCCGTCGTTGATGATTCGTTCGTATTTGAGCGTGTCAATCTCATGCTTTCGTTGTGCGCGTTGTTCGTGGATTTGACGCTGTTTGGCTCGGATGAAGCTCTTTGTGTCAACGTTCGGGTGTACTTCGACGTCAGAATCGTCCGACACCTCGAGTCTATCCCACTTGTCGTAGGAAATAGGCATGGTAAGGGCAAAAGAGGAAGCAGGCTTTTGATTCGAGGAGGCAGTAAACTGGAACACGAGAGAGGAGCGGACTCGAGTCTTAGCTTATTAGATTGCTTGATGTTTGCTGTTCTTGAGCCTGTTGAGCCTCTTGAATCTTTTCGAGATCAAGGATGCTTCTAGAAAGGGATACCTAGTGTCTGGTGATCATGAATTAGATGTTTGCCATCTTGAGCAAGTGCCTCTGGTGGCCCTGGTGGCCCTGGTGGCCCTGCAGGTTACGTAGTGGGGGTGACGTCCGTGGGTTGCAGGTGGAAAATGGAGGGGCTTAGGCCAAGCTCCATTTGGTACGGGCGAGTGCTTAACTGCTAGGGGCGGTTAGTGGGAGCTCTTCGGGCGTCCTAGGCTCGGTCTCGCGTCTCCGTTCATCGGCTCGTCAATCGTCATTGATCACATCCGTGGCAGAGGCAGGCAGCTTTTTCTCACCTTCAATGCTCTCATCGCGCCATTAGACATTGTCAACTTCACCGGTTTCCTTCCCATATACGACCGCCGCCGAGATGAAGAGGAGGAGAGACACGCCCATCCCTTTACTCTGCTGATTCATTCGTCGATCCACTACAGGTATGATCGCTACGCGCACCTCGGTGCTGCTTGCTTTCAGGCCTTTTCAACATGGCTCCCGATTAAATCAACTTGACCAGAATATCCTCCTTTCG